ACTATTAAATTGACTAGTACAACTATTTGAGCTGGGTGTATTTGTTAAATCTATGGTCACCAACGGCTGAGTAGACTTTTGATCACAAGTGACATTTAACAATTCTGTATACAGATCTAAGGTGTTATTATAGCTACTCACCCGTTTGTGTTCCAACATAGAAATACAAATACCTATAGAGCTCTGTGATTAATAAACGAATTTTGTTTTCCCCGGTTGTTATATATACTATAAATGATTGAATAATAACTATTTAAATAGAAGAGAGAATTACTAATAAATATTGTGTTATACCTATGCTAATTGTATTAAACATAATAAGAAAATAGACATTACAAATTAAAATTAGTGGCCTATTGATGAAGAAAGAATTTAATTGTCTATCTATCTACGACCTGACTTCATCGTCAATCCATTAACTTACAGTAGAGTTCCGCCAGTGTGACCGTTAACGCAGGCGGAAGTATCATACATATACTATAAAAAAACTGCATCCTGCATTTATACTTCTAACTGACCCTCTAATGATGAGAACACCGAGCAAACAAAAGACATTCGGGAGTTGGCGGTAGGCTCCCCACGTTGGATTTACAAATAAACATTGTTAAATATTCCACTATAAGGTACTACCGCATTGACCATAAACAATTATAATTAATAAATAATGTGAAAAAAAATTAGTTAATATAAATAAATATGTACAACACTTATATATATCCATTTATAATATAAGAGCCGCGCTCCTGTCGGTGGTGCTCTTGGCACTTCCCACAATCTTCCATCACGCTCTTTAAATTTTGTTACAACACTACTCCAATTTTGTCTTTAATTTACTTGTATATGTGCTTGGTCTTCACAGCATTTAACGAGCATGATGGAAAATCATGGAAAATCCCTCTCCCCCTCTTTTCTTCTATTTTTCACTCTATACTAATTTTGATAAATTCATCGTACGTATCAAGTATCCTAACATTTTCCCTCATCTATTTCGTTTAATTAGAATTTAAAAAAATATTTTAATATCCTATCAATTCAGTACATGGCCTATACTGACATGAAACAAACATTATACTTTTTTGTGATTTATTTATGAATATAAATATGTATATACATTAATAACCATTGTTGCCGAAGGTAACCATGTCGATAGTTTATAGTTTTTTATATATTTTTGAATTGATTATTTTGTCGTTCTGTTTTTATATTCCGATTGTTTTCCTAATGCCATATTCCTTGTCTTTATTTTTTTGCTAGCGACCTGAATATGCATATTTTACCTAGAAACATGTCTTATTTTAAACCAGTATAATACAGTCCTTCCGTCATAACCATTGTCCATGGGACATTAAAAATAAAACAAAATTATAATAAATTTTATAGTGATTTTTACTGACTTTTTATATTCAATTTTATTATATATCCCCATAATTACTAACGAAAATGTAATAAATAGATAATTATGCCTTACATCATTATTATTTATTACATTTTCGTTGGTAATGATGGCAATACTATCTGAAGGTAAAATATATAAAAAGTTCTTGTAGTTACGTGTCACTTTGAAGGCCTCGGTGGTCTAGGGGTTTAGCATACCGTTTTACTTCCGATTGTCGCAGGTTCGATTTCTCGCACTACACAATCATTTGTATTCATGAATATGATTGTTTGTATCGGTCTGGGTCTTTTCTATGTATATATTTATAAAAAAAATCTAATTATTTATAACAGTTGTATAGTACCTATAACATAAGCTCTGCTTACCGTGGGACTAGATGGCGCTGTGTTAATTGTCCAAGGTTAAAAAAAATAAAAATCTATCAAGAAGTTTCCTACACTAGCTAACTGACCAAATTTCATGCTCATTTTATAATCTTCTGTTGTCCCTCCACGTATACCACTACCACAAGAGGGTGCACCATTCCATTATCGGCCATAAAAATATATATAATATTACATATGTGTGCACTCACGTTTTGAGGAAATAAATCACAAGGTCACACAGCACACCTAGAAAACAGATGGTATTGACGTCATTTGCTTTTGTGAATAATAGGACATCAATTAACTGTGTATCATTTATTGCATGATAACCATCTATACTCAGTCAGAATTTATAATAGAGTATCCTACCCTGTACATGTACGCTAAAATAAAGATTTTTTCTAAAATGAAAGTAGCCTCAGTTACTCCTTATTACATCAGCTACCTGCCTAAAAAAGTCCCGTCAAAATCGGTCCAGTCATTTCAGAGATTATCCGAATCAAACAGACAGACACACAGACAAAATTTGGAAGAAATGTTATTTTGGTGTATATACCGTATTTATATTCATATGCATGTAGTAAAGAACGGTTATTTCAATATTACAAACAGACACTTCAATTTTATTTATATGTATAAGATGTATAGATAACTTTTCTTTTTTAAATTGGTCAAAATGAACAAATAAACATCGAAAGTTATAAATTTCGTTAACTTGTTTTGGAATTTGAATAGTGATTATTGCGATTAGAGGTAGTCGTTGTAAAAAGTCGCCTCCGTGGGTACCTCCTATCCGCCTCCTATCTGCCGCCCAGCAGCTTATTTTCTAACTTGTGTTTCGGTCGTAGGATGAGATGATGATAGCTAAGTAAGATAATATTTTAGTTCTATAATAGTTTTGTTTAGTTATGTATAGATTAACTGTACCCGCGGTTTTAACCGCATGAAATTTATAGCCTATGTAATATTCTGTCGTATAAGCTATATTACTATAAAGTTTCAGCAAAATCCGTTGAGTTTTTCGTGAAATAGTAACAATTATCCATCAATAGACACATACTCACAAACTTCTAATTTTATTATATTAGTAATAAATAATAATAACATTAAATTGTATGTAAAAAAATTTGGACTGAATCGGCTTGATGTTGGTATGTACCAGTGATATTACATACCAACGACGGAGCTCCTCGTAACCGTAACCGAAACTAATGGATATCCGATATGAAAATATATCCGTAACCGTAACCGAATCCGTAATAAATGTGTCGGATAATATCGGATAGGGGCGGAGCCTAATTGAGACACGTTATGTAACCATTTGTATTTTATTTTTGAAATTCCTTAAAAAATTAATATCCAAATTTTCTTAAATTTTTTTTTAAATTTTCCGAAACTAACGGATAATCCGAAATAATTTCATATCCGCATCCGTATCCGTATCTGGTATAATAAACATTCCTATATCCGAAACCTATCCGTTTCCGAAATTTCATATCCATATCATCCCTGGTATGTACCACGGTATATTGTCTGATCCTGTATCATCGCCAACAAAATTTTTATTTTCATTGTACAGTAGTAGATAAGATTAGTAACAAGATACTATGGGGCTGGCATTATCAATATATCAATAAAAAAAAACATTAGTGCGGATCGTGATTAGTATTTCAATTTGCCTATTTTATTTTCCTAAATCCCAATGTAATTGGGATTTAGGAAAACAATAACAAATTCATCAAAATTGGTTCTGCTGTAGCCGTTAAGGTGTAACACACAGACAGAGTAGCTTTGAGAGATCCATGATCAATATTGTGTAATGTTTATGAATTAAGACAAAGTATTTTATGATTAGCCCACTAATAGGTATTATAAACGCTTTAGTACCTATATGAGGATAGATATTCAGATGTATATTGTTAGTAATGCAAAAATTATAACTACATGGTCTTGCTATAAATATTGCTACAAGGAAAATTCTTTATTTTTCTATTGCATTACTGTTATGTGTTAGTATAAACATTAATATAAAACATTAAAATATATAAAGCTTAATCGAAATGATCTCCACTTGCTGCAACATAGTTCTTTAAAGATCGAGGCTAGTTATCAATAGAAGCAAGCACTGTTTCCATGTGAAAATTCTTCACTGCCAATCTAATAGATTGGTTTAGGAGATCCAAATTAACATGGGTTTAATAGCAGCTACACTAAAAACACGATATATTATACAAATATTTATTTATTAAAACTTCGATGCACAAATATACAATATTTATAATTTCTACCATTAAGCAAACAGAGTACATATGGGCGTGATCAAAATTAAAATTCAAATATAAAACAAACGATAGTTTTGAATTTGATTAAACATACATACATAAGCGACTATATTTATATGCATATAGTCCATACTGTTAACAAAAAAATACACACAATATCCATAAATATAACTGTAGTGTGAAAAAAAAATATCTACTTTAAATACCACAAACATTTGGTTTGTGGTATTTAAAGTAGATATTTTTTTTTATGTTGTGCATTAAAAATAAAATATACATTCTTATCGTATTTATGTTTTACTATTTTGGCAATAATAACTTACACATAAAAGATATATATTGTTTTTTGTAAGACAAGTATCATTATAGTTGATCCAATTTACATAAAATCTGTTCAAATTATAGCCTATGTGTTATTCTGATGTATTACTAAGTAACTTAAAGTTTCATCAAAATCTGTTTAAGTAGTTTTTGCGTGAAATAATACCTACTATCCGTCAATACCCTATGTATTGACGGATAGTAGGTATTATATTAGTAAGGATTATTTTACTCTATCTATATTTTTGTATGATTCATAAGAAAACAGTATACATCTAAAACAAGGACATCATAGATACAAGACTTAAAAATTACAGTTGTATAAGTTTTATTATTTTCTAAACTCGCTGTAAGTATGGAATCCACAGAACAACTTTATTTTGTGATAAAATCATAAGACTATTTATTTATATAATATGACTATTTATTCATATAAATGTGCAACAATAGTTCTACATACATTGTAAAGATCGTATTTTTTGTTAAATAAATATAAAAAAAAACTAATAATAATATGAAATAGTTTCATAAAAAGATTTACAATAAAAACTCCACAACGCTTCCACATTACAATTACATTTATTTTCCGTCACCATTCACATTTTCACAACCGGAAAATTTCTTGATTATATAAAATTACTGAGAATAAGGAAACTCTACAGTGACAATAGACTGAGCTTCAACATACACTAGTGCATCTAGTTGGCCCAGTTGGATTCTAACAGCTCTAGCTTGATTTACTCTGAAACAAAAACAGTATTTAAATAAATATGGAATATATATAATTATGTCATCCTCATATGACGGCCTTGGTGGTTTAGCGGTTTAGCACACCGCCTTACTTACGATGGTCACGGGTTTGATTTCTAACACTGCACCAACATTTATATTCACGAGTATGATTGTTTGTATCGGTCTGGGTGTTTTCTATATTAACATTTAAGAAAGTTGAATGCAGTGATGGCTGACTCACTCGTTATACTCGGGAACGGGTGCGGCTTTTAGGGACTGGTCTGCTCTGATAACTATGACTGATTATTTAGTTACTCAAGGTCAACTTACGTACACTTTGCTATTTGGTATTTTGATGCACACAAAAATCTTAAAAATGTAATTCAGAACAAAATTTATAAAAAAAGTTATACTAACTCATTATGCAGCACGACGACAATAGTATTTCTTGGGGTAAGAAATGCGATATTAGCCAAAGGAGTTGAATCAGGATAGGTGGCTTTAACATTAATTCTCTTAGAGCCTCTTGGTACGAACTTGGAGAAATGACCCATGGCGTAGAACATAGGCTGTTTGACGAATTCCCCTTTATCTGGGAATACAATGATGGGAGCATCTATGAAGTTGCTCACATATGTTGGACCACCTTGTTCATTCAGAGCCATGTTCCAGTCAATCCAGCCTACTACGTTGTAATTGAGATCCTGTAAGAGTAAATTTGTGAAATTACATAGCGTTACCCACGAATTAACACACTGTCCTGCGCAGTTAAAAATCATCGCTTCTAAGAATATTCTTCAATTCTTGTCCCTGACGAGTCTAGGCAGCGAACTATAAAAAAAATGGCGAGAATGATAGATCAATGCAGGTCGCATTGTTACAAGTGCAAAATACCGAGAAGTAGCCCAAACCACTTAATAAAAAAAGATAACAAATTTTCATCCCCAATATCAGCCTAATGCAGATTACTTTTTGAAACAAAATATAGCTGTCCTCGTAGTACAGTCTATCTTCATGTCAAATTGTATTAACAGCCGTTCAGCCGTTTATTCTTGAAAAGGTACAAACAGATAAACAGACAAACACACAACACGTCACGAATGAAACAGATACGAAATAACCAACTTTATTCCCATCACTAAGAATAATTTTATAATTACTGGTCAGACTTAGAATAGATAAAATTCACATGAGACCAAATCGGAAGTACCAATTTAAAAATTATTAAATTCTAATAGAAAAAGTTCCGAGTTAACAGAAAAAAGCGATCGAAAACATAATATATATTTGAAAATAAATGTATTTACACTAAGATATTTTTAGAAAAAAATATACCTCTAGAATACTATTGATGTACTTCTTAGCTCTGTCCCACGACCCCAGAAGAACGGGCTGATCTGAGGTAACACCTGGAATTAAATTGTAAGTAGGTATTTTAGAAATAGATTATAAAAAACCTTAGACACTTCTATTTTGTCTATTTCTACCATAAAGCATCATGCGTTCTGTTTGAAGGAGTAGATACCAGTGAAATTAGAGAGTACGTAGGTGTGGTGATTTAGTCCTTAACACATTATGAGCGGGGGAGGTATTTGTACCCGTATTAATAAATATATTTTTTTTTCCTTGTGACACTTACAATTACTTATCTTAAGCGGGTACTTAATACCTTCCCCGCTTACAAGTGGCAATCCTCGGAACGGGTACAAATATCTGCCCCGCTCCTAATGTGTTATGAATGGGAGTGCATGAGGAGTAGGTACCATGCCGTGACGATATTATGTCCGTTATGTTGTTTATATTATACTGTAGTATACAAGTAAAAAATAAGTCGTCAGCTTGTTTGTCATACCAGCTGCATAAAAATAATAATTAAATATTGCGATAGATATAATATACTTTAATTGCATTATTAAAGCAATTTAAAGATAAGGAAAAGATACATAATAATTATTAGAAAATACACAATAATAATTGCTGCAATAATATACAAGCAAATTTTCAATGTACAACGCCAAAGTACAATTTTTGAACTATACAAACATACATATATACACAATGTATGTTAATTTTGTGACATTATACTCCCTAAGGATTGAATGTTTCAGAGTAATTTATTCATTAAACAAAAGATGTAGAAAGGAATCTTTAAATTTTTATGGTCCTTCGTACCGGATTTTTAGTTAATATTTCATGGAAATAAATATTAATATATATAGTATGTTTAATTAATTATAAGATCATATCACCAGTGCAGGCTTCGGTAGCGATTACATATTTTCCAGGATGTCCCTCTATCGCCCTGGTAAGTTGTTCAGGTGGTGTTAAATCGTCAAAGTAGAAGTGCACCGCTATACCATCGATGTATTTGTCAGCTTCAGGAACCTCTTCAATTACCTAGATATAAATACATACATTAAAAAAACATTCCTAGCCTCATCCAACTCACTATTTTCAATTTATCCATGTGACGGTATAAAATATAGGCTCCCATTTCATCTCCTTTTTTATCCTAAACATATGTATTATATGTTCCACATGATGATTGGTAAATCTGTAAAGACATTAAATTGCAAACAAACTCCATTAGATTTAAAAGGAAAGAGTAATTTCGAAATAACTTTCATCATATTCCTGAACAATTCACACAGCGCCGTCTAGTCCCAAGCTAATCAGAGCTTATGTTATGGCTACTAGACATTTTTTCTATAAATACATACATAATATACATAGAAATCACCCCGACCAATGTAAGTAATCATACTCATGGATCCAAATTTTTACATCGTGTGAGGAAGCGGTATACTAAACCGCTAGACTACTGAGGGCGTCATACAGGATAATGACAATTAATTTCTTAATATTTGACTATATACTTACCACATTGTACCACATTACTATAGAAAAGCGCTGATCATCGCCGGCAAGAATAGTAATATTTTTATAAGCCGAATTCCTTATCGTGGGTCCCAAGTTGTTGGCTATCCACAGACCCTGAAATTTTAATATTTATGATTAAAAGAAAACCACACCGCCTACTCTGAAACTAAACAAAGTTTAGGCTATAGGTAAGTACAAAGCGACTGATAAAAAACATAAATATATGGTATAGGTAATTAATGGTATAAATCAGATTAATAATAAATACTATTAATAATATCTCAGGATAATTCACACAATGCCATGTCATGCTATGCCATGCAATATACAGACTTGAAGTCTGTAGAACAAATGTCATTTCTCTTCAAACTATTAGTTGTACCAAGTTGAGTTAAAACTAAGTTAAGTAAACTAGGTAGTTCAAATTATTCACATCGTTTAACTATGCCAGTTTTACCGAATATTTTACCAATACAAATATTTCTTTCATTTATGCCTGATTCCTAACGTAAAATAATATAAATTAGGGCAATTCTGTATCTATATTTCCTATTTAAGCTTAAAATAATTGCACTTAGAAAGAATAAATTGACACACGTTATTCATCCTCCGTAACAATATTAACTTACCATGCCCCTTGTGGTCCAGCCGAGTCTGTTCACTGAGCCCAATGACATGATTCCACTGAGCGGTTCATTTGAAGTGGTCAGAGCCCAAATTGATATGTTCTCCTTGGCATAACTATCCAGAAATCTAGAACACAAATTGAATTCATATGAATATACGTAAATGGATGAGAAATCTCTGGAGAGAAATGTTCTCAAAGTTTCGCTGAATCCGAATTAAGAACTTCCACTTATATCCAAAATCAAGTATAACAAAGTGGTACATGGCCCAGATAATCAAATGACTGTTGAATGTGAATGGTTTTAGAATACAGTCTTTGTACTGTAACAAGTTCTAAGGAAACCCCAGATTATGTGACTAAATAGATGAAGTACTTTAACAAGTCGTAAGGAATTCCCGGAATATGTGATTAACTAGCTGAGGTTACGATTAATGAGTATGCTCCTTTAACTGATAACTTATAGATAAGAAAAGTTCTAGGGGCAACTGTCGTCTAAGACGATCACGACCCCTACAAGGTCGAGTGACGACCTCAGAAATATTGCAGGGTCTCAGGGCTCAAATAGTTTCAAGATATTCAGCAGTAATCGGTTATGAAAAAAATACTACTTCGTAAGACAGAGTAGTAAAAATGCATTTGTATGCATACATGTCGAAAGATTATCCAGAATTTTTTATAGTTTGTGCAATAAAACCACGTTTTGATAACGTTACCTGTTGTTACACTCCAAATACTTTGAACTGTACAATATCGATAAATTAAATAAGCATACAGAGGCAGCACTAACTTCAAATGATAATCGGCATAGGGCTGTGTATATTCTTTCTTGAGCCGACTGGTTCCTGTTATATTGTGTACATGCTTCATCCATACTGGAGGTGACCAGCACGAAGCCACAATGTGGACAGGAGCGGTGGCTGCATCGATACATGCTTTAATCGCGGGTATCTGAAAAAAAAATATCAGACAAAATTTAACTCTCCAATGAACCTTTGTTAATAGAACTATGAACACTAGACACTATAAATATTAGTTCAACTAAACCTAACGCTATATTGATAGAAAATTTTATAGGTTATGGTTAAAATTCTGAATTAATACAACTTCGATGGCAACCTTTAATAAAACATTTCTATGAATGTTTTATTTATTATGAAATAGCGAGTAAATTATATTCTTTGTCATAAAACAATTAAAGAGATACGGTATAGGTACACAAAACGTTTGGGCATAAAACCAAGAGTAATAGAAAATATTTTTCTTGCTATTTATTTTTTATTATTCTATTTATTTCTTGACTGGTATCAACAATGTATTTAGTTTGTATGTATTCTTTGTATGGAAATAAGTAAATTATTTTTTTAATTACTTGATTACCAATAGGGAAGGTCTATCAGGTTTCCGCACTGAATATTTATGGTCTCACATATAGTAATTGTTGCGGAAAAAAAAACATTAATTAATAAATCTATGGTATGCTCCGCCGTTTATTGTCGTTTATTTCCGTATATTCTTTACCTTATATTTATAATCCTCTTCAACTAGTGAGAAGTTGCTCAATTTTAAATCGTTTTCTGGAGAGTCCTGCAATGTGTATGGATGAGTCGAAAAATCGCTGCCACCGATCGGCGTCCGTATCATGTTGTATTCTATACCATTGGCACCAAAATATGAACTGGAAATATAATGGAGTATATTTTAAATAATTATAAACGTTAAACTAGGTATAAACTACGATTAATACTCATGAGAATTAGACTCCAAGTATCATCAAGATCTCAGCGCGTATCAATTTACTTTTATATGAAAATCTTCCCAATTCCCTTTGCTTTACACTATTGCTACTCCTCCATACCACCTCGATACCTACCTCTCCGATCGATCCTCCGTCCAATTCAAACGGGGATCGATATTACGACGGCCTGAGGCGAGGTTCGAACCCCTAGTGGTGCCCTCAGACTAAAATCGTATCCGTCAGGCAGGAGTTGGCCTTCAGCCACTCCATAAGTCCTTCCGCGGGTTTGGAGTGCCATCTGCACTCGCCCCCTAACGTCCAGTAAAGCTGTAAAGGCCAGCTGCCAATAGCATTAGTATAGTCCGAAAAAAAAAAATTGCCTAATTTATAACGAAATCCTCAAAGGTAATCTCAAAAATCATATTATTCTATATCTCTGTGATGATTAGTCAATACTATTAGTAATATACATGAACAGCACTGCGGATATCACGACACTCGTGATACAACTCATGCCCAATCATCATTCCCAATGACTAAGAAGTCATGCTACTCATCCTACAAAGCCTTTTCACCCTCTTTAACAGATATTAGTATTCAAGCAAGTTGCTTGGCGGCAGATATAGACGAGACTGAGGACTGAGGTATAAAGTCATCTCACTGAGATGACTTCATACAGAGTCTATCTAATAATAATAATATTTATTGCAGTTATAGGTCGTGTTACATAATTAAGTTGTACATAAGAATTAATACAATTTGAACATACGAGTGTAATTGTGCCATCTGAACTACTATAGAATTATACGTATCTCAGATGTCACAACTTGCAATATAAAAATAGACTTTTACTTTATAAGATGTGACTTGAGCGTTTCATTGTTCAGTGCCAGCCAGTTTATGCCGAACGAATCTGTGACTGCTCCACCAAATCCTTCTATACTTTGATATTGTATCGTGGGATCTAGTACCAATGTCGGATTGGATTTATCTGTAGGTAAAAAATGTATATTTATTTAATTAACTTCTAAAAGAAGAAAAATATTTAGTAAACACTTTCTTAATAAAAAAAAGTTTCTTATAAAATTGAAGAATTTTGCTGCTGTGCTGCAGCACATATATATATTGTTTCTGTAGAATAAAAACTAACATACAAGACAAGTTTGCACAAAGAATGAGTACGTAGTGGTCTGTATGTCGATAGGTGCATGCCTCTTCCTTATTAATAAGTATAATTTTACTAAAGCAATATTAATTAAAAGAGCAAGACCCAAAACTTTACTTACTTTTCTTGTAAACAATCTGAGTTCCGAAATAGTGGTAGAATAAAAAAAATATGGCTATTCAAAACTAAGTTTTGAATTTTAAATACTAAGAATATTTGAACAAAGAATATTTCTATTTCTATTCCATTATTTATAAAGATTGTTTATATTGACATAATATATATTCTATATCACTATGGAATACCGCAAACAGTAAATTAATTTCTCAAATCGGTGCAATATTTTCATAGTCTACATTCGCCATGAAATCATTCGTTCTTTCTTTATAATTTTAGTACGTACAGATATCTTCACAAATTATACCACTTCTTCTTTGACTCTCAAGGAAAGCCAGTTTATCCTTATAATGTGTCTCACTCTGTATGTGTTGTATATATATATGTTACCTTTTAACCACTTAACGTCTAATCAGATCTTAATAAAATCACACACATAGGCTATCATTTAACAAAAAAGCTACATCACTTTTACGCTCATATTATCGTAAATACATACCGTCAGTGTGCTTTTGTAATACACCCGTACTTTTGGAGAATCTAAGTCCACCCTAGAAAATATGACTTTATTATAAATATATACAAATTTGTGAAGAAATACTTATAAAATAAAAAATACTATAGTATACCCGACATTATAAGCGACATATAGTAGCCATCATATATTTCATATGCACCATTAAATATTATAATGCCCTTGCAAGATTTCTATTCGAAACTTATTATATGTACTTCACATCTGTATCTATCCCTGAATGACAACAACCTCATGAAATAATAAAGTAATTGTTTTTATTTTAATTCTGTAATTTCACTACCTTATCTCACCCTGCACCTGAAATACATCATACAAAGCAAGCTGTTTAGTCGCTGAAATTGAGGTATCCACATAGTCTTTTTATTCTATAGACTCCACTTCAATCAGCCATCAATCATTTTGTACATGTCGTAATATTGGGAACATTTAAAAAGACAATTACAGTAATTATCTCTTCTGTAATATAATACGTGATAGTGAAAATTTGTAAAGAAATTAAGGAATTAAATAAGCTACATATATGGAAAATGCTTTTATTTGTATTATATTATACAAGAAACGTATATTATAATATTAAGTCTACATCTGTATAAATATAAATAAAGCATTTTTTCAAGGCAATCTTAGGATAATAGATATAATTGTGAAGTATATAGATGACATGCAAATAAAGCAATATATGAGAATAATAACATAACGAAGAAGGAAAATATAATATTATTTTCCTCTGCCAGTTAGAAAATTGATTCTGAATTATTTGTGTTTTTCCCTAGGCATCTAGGGAAAAATACAAATAATTATACAGTACGTCTTGGACACATATAAATATATAGCAGTTAGTATAGTAGTTATGCATAGTATAATGTTATACTACCTGTGCCCGTAACCTTCATTGCGTGGAATAATGACTTTAATCAAAAAAAGAAATAATATTTCATAATCTAACCAAAAAAACTAAAAGAACAAAGTTTCATCGTATTAGCTTTTTAGCAAACATTACTTCAAATCATCCCCTATATTATTTGACCCCCGTATAAATATCTACAAACATTGAAATGTCATATTTATTTATATTTTATCAACAGCCTAAAAAATAAGTTTCAAGCTTCTGGCTTGAAAAAGGACGATACTACCATATAACTTTCTGTCTCCCTTTTCTACCCCTTACAACCCCTTATTTGCATTATAAACTACGTCCTTTCTCAGGGTATACACGATCTGAGTATTAGTTCCATAGTTTTGGCGTGAAAGCGATACAGACAGATAGACAGACAGAGTTACTTTCACATTTATAATATTAACTTAATAAGTAATATATTTTTAGTAAATAGATACCAATTAATAATCTTTAAAATAAGAATAAATTGATATAGGTAGGTAGTGACAATATTCCCTACAAACAATAACACCCCAAAATATGTTATTGGCAGCACCGTAATTTGAAAAAACATGTTAATAAGTGAAAATGCATTACATCGATATCCAAACAGCTGAGATAACAAACGTCAATATAATTCACGATCAATTACGTTATTTAAAAAAAACATGCGTCTTTTCAATTGTCTCGTTCGTTTTGTAATGACATACAAACTGATGGGTTGCCTATCATGCAGTCATATTATATTACGACTTGAATATGTAGGGGTAAAATATATATGATTGGCAAAATTAAAGACTCACAATAAACAATGAAAATTCATGAACAATAGAAGATATCGAATGCACACTTCATTATCATCATTATTACATAGTATAAAACAAAATCGCTGTCGTTGTCTGTCCCTATGTTTGCTTAAATCTTTAAAACTACGCAACGGATTTTGAAGCGGTGTTTTTTAATAGATAGAGTGATTCAAGAGGAAGGTTTATATATATTATACATGTACACCCGTGCGAAGTCGGGCGAATAGCTAGTTATAAATATAAAATTCTAGTTGCTATGCCTTCTATATGCCCAGATATAAATTTAATAAACATACACAAAATATTTTTTAAAAGATTACATCATAAAACAGTAAATTATTACATTATTATTTTATAACTATTTATTAATTATTTATTCTTTACAAATTTACTGCTTCACATTAAAGATTAGACCATAATTCAGAATAGCTATTAATATATCTGGCAAACTTCAACTTTGGACAAATTCCCGAGTTACACTTTGTTCAAAGTTAGTTGCGGGGGTAACTCTCTCATATATTTCAACCGCCAAGTTGATTGGTATATAAGTTATGTTACACTTCAAATGTGTAAGGTTAAGGCAGTGAAATTACAGGATAAAGAGTCAAGAAACCTTATTCCTCAGGCATGAGAATTATAAATGGCCACATTGTTGGTAATGAACCATATCAGATCGGCCTCAACACTTTCTGAATATTATTATGGTCCATTCTTCACTGTAGGCTAACCGAATTGATTTACTGCGACGTTACACGAGTTACATCACAAGTGAAAGTTTGTGTTTATGGATGGATGGGTGGATGTTTGTTACTCTTTCACGCAAAAACTACTGAATTGATTTAATGAAACTTTACAATAATACTTATACATCATAACACTTAGGCTATAAATTTCACTAAGGTGAAAAGGCGGGCAACCGGACACAGCTGGTATATAGGTAGTTATTATTTTCCATTAGTGTTCAGACAGCGCGAAATCTCAGTAAAGAATTGCAAGATCTATTAAAAAAAAATACCTGTGATGACGTATACGCGAAGTAACGACCTGTTACAGGCACCTCCCTTGTGATTGTATCACAATAGTCCGCAGTACACACGCAAATCACTGAATTGTTGGTACTTCTTGATCTACATGTTTTATCTGTAAATTCAACAGGTACTTAAATCTGTGATAAACTAAATATATCCTTTGAAAAGTATACACTCTATCCTGAGGAGATGAAAATCATCGCTCAAGCCCAATTTACAATCAGCCCGAGTGGGCAGGTGAGCATCGCTAGAGTGTAAACACATTACTTCCCATGCCAATGGCGCTGCTACTCGCGCTGCCCGGCGCTCCCTCAATTGTCGGTTTTTCGGGCGCAAGTCAAAGGACTGGCAGCGTGTGTTTACATTCAGCCCTCTCGCTCAGTTGTCGCCGGGCAATATTTCCGGCAGCGCGAGTGGCAGGGGAAGCAGCTAAATGTAAACGTAACATTAAAAATATCCTTCAATTCATATCCCTTACGGGACTAGGTAGCGAACTTTGAAAAAGGACGAGCACAATAGATCATATATATCTTTAGAAACAACAGATATGCATATATATATATTTCTTATTTTCGAAAATGAAATGCTTTTTTTAAGTAATCATGTTATTCTATAATAAAGTACCATTCAAGCTTTGAAAGAATTTCCTATATCGGTTCAGTGGTTTAAGTTCAATTTCCTGAAGCAATATATATGACGGCCTCGGTGGTCTAGCGGTTTACCACACCGCCGTACTTCCGTTGGTCGCGGGTTCGATTCTTCGCACGTCACAAAAATTTGTATTAATGAGGATGATTGTTTGTACTGATCTGGGTGTTATCTATGTAAAATATGTATATATATGTATTTACCAAAAAAATATACCCATAATACAAATTTTAGCTAGCTTAACTTGAGATAGAGCGCTGTGTGAATTGTCCTGAGATTATTATTATTAATATAAACCCCATGCTCTGTAATTTCGCTGTCATACTCTACTTCAAACAGCTGTTTGGCTGCTGAAATAGATGCGACAGGGATGCCCACACATACATACATAATGTTCGGGTATTTATTTATGTTTATCAATTGTGAAAGCAAGCTGTCACTATTTTAAAGAGATAACAGAAAACGTTGTACTAATAATCTCTTACCTGATAAAATTTAAAAATTCTTATGACGTTCAATTAAACAATTATGTAAGTAATGTACTTATAGTTACTAGGTAACTAGTTGTAACTACAGACTAATTTGAAATATATTTGAGGGTTGTTAGTACTGAGAACCTTCATGTAACTCAGTGGACCACTATTTTATTAGACTATTTTATCAATAATTAATAATGTTTTATTTATTGTTGTCATTTGATTATCCGTTGTCTGTAAGATATTATTTTAAGCTATAAGGTTGCCTCTGTTACTTAAGAGTTTTATTACCTGTATTATCATTGTTCTTTATATATATATTATTATTATATCTCCCTTTGATGAGCTGATAGACTTGCCATTGCGGGTGAAAATTATTATTATTTTTAATATCGTCTATATATAACGATCAACACTAGCAATCAATATAATTATTAGGGAATTAGATTATTTATTACACACCAATGGGCCCCCATTGATGTGTAATAAGACCAACTTCACATTTCATCCTTCTTGAAAACCATCGTGGACAATATCTTCTGATTTTCCCACAATATGCTAACCGTAAGTCGTAACGCGTATGTCTCTGGGCAAAGCCTGTATGCTGCAAACTATACACTGAGGTGCTGCCTTTTTGCGTATGGTCGATACACACACACACATTACGTTATTCCCCTCCGATCGATCCTCCGTCCAATTCAAACGGATCGATATTACGACGGAACCCCTAGTGGTGCCCTCAGACTAAAGTCGTATCCGTCAGGCAGGAGTTGGCCTTCAGCCGCTCCTTAAGTCCTGCCGTGGGTTTGGAGTGCCATCTGCACTCACCCCCTAACGTCCGGTGAAGCTGTAAAGGCCAGCTGCGGCCAACAGCATTAGATTAGTCCGGAAGAAACTACGTTACTCACACCGTTTTTTTGGTGTCTATATTGTATTTTATTGACTTACCAATGTAATTGTATATCTACAATTTATTTTTGTTGTTTATATTACAGTGCCTTGTATAAATATGTGTGCCTTTAATGTAAATTAAAAAAATATCTATCTATCTATGATATAGACAGAAAGAAAATAAGTTTATTTGGTATTCATAACAATGACAAAAATCATTTTTTAATTTTAAATTTCATATTGGTTTATTTTGGTATCACATAGGTCTCCGCTCAGCATATGTCGTGACAGGGTACCAGGATGCTAGTATTCTGCGGATATCTTCATTCATATAAATATAAACTCATACTCATCCGAGTATACTCCACTGTTGCCTACCAACGTATACCTTTAGCGCAGGTAGGTACCATTTCGTAATCTATACTTATAATAAATCTGTAGAGAGGTCTAATCTGTAGATGAAATATTAATATTTCCAAAATAACTATCAAGGGGTGATTAGTGATCGATACTGATGTCAAAAATGCAATGAGTAAAATTTTTGTCTATCTGTCTGTCTGTCTGTATGTTTCCTTATAGAAACAAAAACTACTCGACGGATTTTAGCGAAACTTGGTACAATTATTCTTCATACTCCTGGCAGGTTATAGTATACTTTTCATCACGTTACGATCAATAGGAGCAGAGCAGTGAGGGGAAATGTTAGGAAAACACATCATAACCACTGTGAGGAAGGACATAGGCTACTTATTTTACGAAAAACGACGGAAACACAGACGAAATCGCGAGCAACAGCCAGTTATCCAATAAAAATAGTCCAGTCCAGGTAAATACAGTTTCTTAATACAAACACAAGTGGCACGTGTATCCACTGTCTGAACCAATTATTATTATATAATAATAATCTCAGGACAATTCACACAGCGCAATCTCGACTCAAGTTAAGCTAGCTAAAGCTTGTGTTATGGGTACTAGACAACTGATACAAATACATAGATATTTTTTTTTCGTAAATACATATATATTATACATAGAAAATACCCAGGCCGATAGAAACATACGTACTCATGAATACAAATGTTTGTGCCGTGCGAGGAATCGAACCCGCGACCATCGGACGTATAGCGGTGTGCTAGACCGCTAGACCACCGAGGTCGTCATTTATATACTCGTCGTTATATACTCATATTACTGCAGTGATCGGTTTAAATTTACATAGTATTAACCTTCTCCAATTTCAGACAAGCCAATTTAGGATTCCGCAATCAAATATAAGATGAAACAAAACGGAAAATTCGAACATGGACGTATTCTATGTATATTCCTTTCTATACGATCCAAATTCTCCTAATTATATTAAGAGGAAATTTCACTTCCATGATCCATTCCATCACATTCCAATCACGGTATTCGCTCAACCAGAAAATTTCTACTTCATATCCCGGCTCATTTATTCGGTTTCGTCCACTATTCTTTCGCCGTTCAGGCTATCAAACTTTGGAATTACTTACCTCTTGATATCAAAACTCTTGATACCGCTACAAATAAAATTTCTTTTAAACGTTTCCGTTTAAAAGAAATATTATTTGTAGCGGTAGTTTACTACGGCAACATTATCTCAATTTGTAACTTTTTACTGCTCTCTTCCATTTCTCTTTCTTTCAATATTTTTTCTATTCTACTCTCTTTAGTTCTGTGACTGTCAGGCTAGTATCTAGTATATATTAATTTTATATATATGTGTGTGTATAGTTATTTGTATATAAGTATAATATAATATTTGTATATATTTATATAATTTATGATTGTATTCCTTAGTATATATTGTATTTATCGTTCTGTTCATATTTTGTTGCATTTTATTTATCATTTATTATATTTGCACCGCCAACATCTATTCTCTGCACCACCTATGGTTGACTGGTACAAGTGTAAGTAAGTCAAAAATATAAATATATATGGTAAGTTCGAAATGCTTTCGAGCTAAGAACAAATGTCAGGAAACTCAGCAGTTATTCTTTTCAAATGAGATGTACATTATTATACAAGTACAAGTTTATTTTAAATTACATTATAGACAATATAATAACCAACCAGCATTCGCTAATTCATGTTTCTCAGAAGAAAATAATTCGATCAGAGGCCGTAACCCGAACAAACAAGTTCCCACATGCAGCATCCGTTCAGGTGTATAACGGATGAGCCAGCTATATATGGCAGAATATAAATGTTCGAAATAAATGTAGATTTTATCAGGAATACTAGCATAAGTTACCTTTTATCCTAAACTCATCAATAATAAATATTTCCCTTGCAACACTACGGAACCATAGAGTCAAGTGTCCACTCGCCAATTACAAATTTCTTATCAAAAACAGTAAATTATGCAGTAATATAAATTATATTTTTATCTGCTAGTTTTTCATATATGTATAGCAAACAAATTGATTACAAGTACCGAATAGAAAGTGAAGACTCACGTTACTCAATTAGACATGAGTAATACTGGGTACACTATGAATTTCATGAGAGTCAATATTTAGTTTTTTATATTCCTTTTTGTATAACTGGAATGATACCAGCTGTAGTGATGGTAAATGGGAATTGCCGTCTTTTTTTCTAAATAAATGATAATTATACGGACCTCCACACACGTATACCACAGGAATTTTTAAGCTTATAAGGATATGCTTACAACTATAAAGAATTTAGTAAAAAATGTTACCTTAATTTGAATTCGTACCATGTGAAATTGGTGGGCTTGATGTAGCAAAAAAAAGTATTTACGCACACAACTTTTTACAAAATCTCCATAGAATCTAATAAACACCTTTATGGTAGTAATAATAATATTGATGAAAATTTTGTTAAGTTATTATATTTTTTTATGTTTACTGTTTTAGTAGTATTTTAGTGTTAGATAGTACTTAAGTGCTATCGTAGTCGTCGATCTTTTATTGTATTAATAAGTTTCTAATAAAGGCTATAATAGAATAGCAGAGAGGGTGGACTCACTGCCCCTGCGTTCTTCTGAGTCTGAGTTTTAGACTGTTTTGTCTCGATTATTACTTTTAAATTTTATTATAAACAGCAATTGTTGTAGTTTAATATTTGAGACAAATAAAGATTATTATTATTATTTCTTTTACGTTTTATTTAATTCTTGAAATTATTCGGTTGATTTAGAGTTAAGTGTTTCCTATATCTTCCTGTAAAAACTTACGCATGATACGATATAATTTATAAATCTCCCTTTGATGGGGTGGTAGAGCTTCGTTGCGGGTGAAAATCACTAAACAATGACAACTATAAATGAAATGATATTGATGATTTTTTAAACGGACGACAAAAATTTGACACTTGTACTTTTATTATTATTATTTTATATATGTTTTATATATCTCGCTTTTTACAGGGGTACTTTCAAACACGCGGGCCTTAGCCAAGCGTGGATGAGTTATATGATCATGTGAAAAGTTTAGACTTATTATCATTATTATTATTATTATTATTATTATTATGAAATCAAGAATCTCTTACCTTCGTTATAATATGTACCATGCACAAGTAGCATAAAATTACTCAGCAACAACAGCACATATAAGTTTTTATAAGCACCCATAGTTTACAAGTCACTTAATATTATAATACAGCTACACAGTGAACCGGCTGTTTATATAATGGAATTTTGTTTAATTTGCGATTATATCACTATTCATGTAGTTATAAAAGATAGAAGAATAAGTGTGAAAGATTTACGTTTGTGTACGTAGATCACACTGTTTTTCTTTCAATATTGTAATAGAACTAATTATTTTCAAATTATACTGCACGGATATCAATGACCCTCCTTGGGTAAGCACGAGTGTGCAATGTAGGTGACGGAGGTCGTTTAATATGTGTAGTTGTATGTCACATACATATAAACCTTACGGAAAATATTGTTGTGAAAACTACATCAATGTCAATGATACAGTTATCAAAGCGATGTAAACTATAGATTTAAGCCATTAACTGAATTTTTACGAAACTTTATCTAATAAAATAAATGCGGTAAAGCGCATACGCTTTGAAATTTACCATATATATATATACAAATTAAAAAAAAAAACTATATAGTATATATACCAACTGTTAGTGATGCCAAATCATTATAGACTAACGACCCGCCCTTACATCGCGCAGGATATTGTCCGTCTGTAAAAAAATTATGTCAGACCTCAAAATAAAATCAGTAAGACTACATTAAATTCCCTGCAGTAATTTTTACGTACTGCTTGTATAAACATATAAACAAGCCCTCGAAAACTGATATAATACATAGAAAACATGCAGACCGATGGAAACAATCATACTCATGATGAAGCATCATTGGAGAAATCGAACCCGCGACTATTTGAAGAAGAGCGGTCAGGTAAACCGCTGGACCATCAAAACCATCAAACTCAAGAATTAACAGAAATAATGACTCATATTGTTTATTATTTTATTATTATTACTATTTATTAATTAGTTTAATTACGCTATTATATTTAATGGAATCAATATAAATATCAATACTATCTAATTAGTAAAATTATCAATCAATTATTTGTTAATTACTATCAATAAGGTAAATTGTATTATAATAACATATTAATGTAAGGATAATACAATATCAAAATAAAGAAGTAACAATATAGACACGTGATCGTTGAAGCGGTTCAGAGAACTCGCTGTCTCTACTGCAATCGTGATTATCCTACTCTATACAACACACATGGCGCTGCTGATGAATGTAATTCTACGGTTTAGCTCGCCCGAAATCCATGTTGAGCTCATCTCGAACAATCGCTCGATAATCATCCTCTTATCATGACAGGCAATTTGAACAGGCTCGGGGAGTCTCCCGATCGTATTCCCGAAGTCATAAAGTCTATTGAAAACTCAAAGAGACTGTCATTATGAGAAATCTTGCGAGTAGACTAACTCATTGCTATTGTTTCCCTCAGTGACCATTTGCAGTCCCTGGAGCAGTTCTTCACGCCAAGTGCAGGACTACTTCAGGATGGACAGCCGCCGCTGGAAAATTCCAAATGACCTAATGAGGTTTATAAGTAAAAAAAGCAAATACAAAAGCATCGTTTTTTGAACAGAACCAAATTCGTCTGCGTAGCCTAGAACTGCTTAAAACGTCAAGTTAAGGGTCGTATAATCCCGAGACTGTGGGGACAGGGGTGGGAAAACTCATCGGAGAAATTACACTATGCCACACCGAGCATTATGAAACTCTAGTCGCAAAAAAACTAATTAATATACATATGACATGTCACAGCTAGTCCGCCCCGACAACACTATATCTTTCTTCGATGAGGAAAAAGCTGAGTATTTAATGTTCAATTTAGAAAAGCAATACTTCAGGTTGTCTGTAAGAAATTGCTTATAGCGATAAGACCGCCTTTTGTTATTAATTTTCATTTTTTTATTGTATTCTATGTGCACAATAAAGAGTTTACTATTATTATTATTTCTCCTCAGATACTTTCCTAGCACATTTCCATTTTAGGCAGATCGTCTCAAGAAAATAGACAGAAAAGTCGAGCGCATCACATCTACTCCTCACAACTAATCATTCGATCAGGGTCGGAAATGGGATTGTTAGAAATCTAAACTAAAATCCACATTACTAACAATGTACCACGTCCGGTTGACCTCCACGTGATTCCCCCTAAAAACCATCCTGATAAATTCCTGGTGAATTCGCCACGATGAGCCAACTGACGTAACCTCATGTTATATTATCTTCCATTGATGCCCGCATACATAAACCGTTACTACAGGCAGGTGCACCATTCCATTATCCATTAATAAAATCAAACCCTTAAAAAATAAAGTAAAGGTTATTGATAAGTAATTATAGAAAATCATATCTCGATACTGTCATAAACTCCTTTCTCTATAATCTCTGTAATAAAAAAACCGCTACTTTCATATAGGTATACATGTATAAATTACTTAACGTTTTAATTTGCCATAAAAGAAAGAGGTATTATTGCGCAGAGAAAATGAAGTACACCGTTTTTAGACAAAGTTTATTTTTGTTAATAATGTCATCGATAATAAATTACAAAAAAAACAATTACTAATTGAAATACCTAGAGAGCCTATCTTCTTTATTAAAATTACAGGTAAATGTCTCTTGTTCTGAAGGTTAATAAGTAAGATACATATATTAACTCGTATAATTATACGTAAAAGTAATTACTTCTTAGTTACCTAAGAAGTAATTAAGAAATTTACATGACGTAAACGATTACGGGAAATTTTTGTATCTTTCTCACTAACATTATAAACGATAGTTTGTGAGTATAAAGATATATGGATGAATGAATATTTGTTCTCTCGTTTTCTCTTTCTCTTCTTTGACCATACATATACATATACCTACATACACGCAAAAATACTGATCGGATGTTAATGAAACTTTATAGTGATATGGCTTATACATCAGAATAACACATAGGCAATAAATTTCATGCGGCTGACACCGCGGGAACAGCTAGTATCTTACTAATATTATAAACGCGAAAGTTTATTAATATGGGTGGATGTATATTCGTTACTTTTTCACGCAAAAACTACTGAACGGATTTTTATGAAACTTTACACTAATATAGCTTAAATATAGGTAATATAAAAGTGATAAATTAGTCGTAATCATATCCCATATTCTCATAAATTCATAATACATTTACAATATAGACTAATAGTGCATGGTTTACCATAGCGTGAATTATAATAAACTTAGCATGATGAACTTTAATTCATAATCACGTTGTGATCATAATTACACTTCAAATTTACACATTTTCGCTGACGAGTTGTAAAACAATATGTAAAACAACATATAACAATAACATATATTACAACCTTTAGTGTAAAGATTTGCTTTGTGTAATACGAATTATAATGATTATTCTCTGCACCACCTATGGTTGACTGGAAGACAATGCCGCATGGTGCTAAGTCCGCCACACCTTTTGTACCACGTACCTTTTGTATTGTGTGCATTGAACTTAAATAAATAAATAAATATAGAAAATAAGAAGTAGTAATTAAAATCTGAATTATAATAGAATGCTGTGAGTGGCTACTTCTGTTTCACCAATTTTTTTTTAATTGATGATAATGTAATGGTGCGTTATCAGTTTAGACTGGTGAGGCACCAATAGAGTATGATTATCTTGAGAATCAGGAGTCAGGTCAGTTAACGCGGCAAATTTATAAGTTACACTTATGAAAATAGTTTCCAGGGGGAACCTCCTGGATATCAACATGATATGGTACATTGCTAGGGTACCAATGGAGGATACATATATTGTGTATTACGTAGAAAAAGAAAATCAGTGGCCAATTCTTCTCAATTGAATCTGTATACTGAAGTGGACAGTGGGGAATAATTTATAATAAAAAAAAAAATTTATAAGAGGCTAAAATGTCCTGCATGAATAATTTTTGATTTGAATTGATTGCTTTGTAAGCTGTGTTCCTGTGCTGTTCGGATTATAACAGACTAGCTGTTCCCACTGTTTCACCCGCATTAAATTGCAATATAAAATATAGTCTATGTGTTATTCTGATGCATAAGCTATATAACAGTAAAGGTTCATAAAAATCCGTTTAGTAGTTTTTGCGTGAAAGAATAACAAACATCCTTATTTACAAACTTTCTCAGTTATAATATTAATCATAATAAGATTAAGATATTATAGAATACAGAGCCATGACAGTTTAGTCATCAAGGTGGCAATATTTGACAGGAACCTCGGGTGTCACTTGCCAATGGGATATCTAGATATATAGATAGATATTAGTTTTTATTTGTATCTTAGTACACACATATAGGCTTAATTATAACATCACAAATAAGTATAACAATTGAATAAGGGTAAATCTGCATGTGTGTGCTACAGCAATACAAAATACCATTTTGCTGATCATTATATATATTATGATATTACGCGATGTCCGTGGTTCTGTTCAGTTCTGTAATATCATGTTATCTGTTGTTCTATTCATGACGATTGTCAGTTTTTGTCAAGTCCATTCCAGTTACATGAGAAATAAATATGATTAAGGCATTTTCCATGTCCTTGAGAACGTTTGCTCGAATCCACTCAATGCATATAAAGTACAGTGCAAAGATGTACAAATAAAAACAAAAGACAATCAATATTCTGATCAAAGATGTTGTTGGTACTGCTGTTGTATTGTACAATTGTACATCGTTTACAATAAGATGATGATATATAGCGCACCTGTTAACACTTTATGTACTTAAAATGTATTAATACTGGCTATTATACAAGAAAAATGTTTAATTAATTTAATGTACATATTCAGTAAAATATATCTTACCAAATTATGTATAACAATGTGTAATACAAAATTGGTACAGTGTTAATACAAAATTTAATAATTATATAAATACATATCTATATATATAGTATGCTTCATTAAATTACTAAATTTTGTATTAAACATTTTGCTTTGATAATACCCAGTATTGTTTTATAATACTAGCAAGTATTAACAGGTACCCTGGTTTTTAAATAAATTAATAATGTATTACAGAAATTAATTGGTAATAAAATCTTCTTATTAAATTATATATTAATTTTTAATATTAATTAGATTAAAATACCAAATATATATATAAATATATTATTTTATATTTGGTATCTCAATCTCAAATATAATCAACCACTAAGCTACAACACTATTGTTTAGAGTGTTGTAACTATATAGTGTTTAATGATTGTTCTATTGATTAATAAATGTAATTTAAGCAATATGAGCATTAACTCTATAATATTTTTAATAAAATTATTATTAGGTATGTATATTCAGTGTACAAACAAGGGATAATTAAAATAAAAACTAGAAAATTTCAATACTTTACTTTCATATAAATATAACTTATAATCTAATTTATTTACATTTTATGTACAATATTATTACAATATACATTTAATAAATGTATACAGAGAATTTGCATGCAAACAGAATGTCACAATTAATAAAATCATGTTTTATTTGATACAAATTTCTTTCTTTCATATTTATAACTTACCATGTATACTTAATAAATAAATAATTTACTAAACACTACGTTGCATTAGAAACTAGGTTGAGAGACATTTTTTTAAGAGGATATTTAGTTGTTTCTTGTGCACATCATTCTACAAGTGTATGAAGTATTCTCCTGTAACGGTGCTCTTTGGTATTGCAATATATCATTGTTTTTCGATGCTGATTTCAACATATCTGAATTCGGTTGGATAAAATCAGGTCTTTCACTAACACTATCCAATATATTCGAAGCTGATGAACTATCATCGTTTTCCCTTGAAGTAAACAGTTTATGGTTTTTTTTAGTCTTTGGCAGTTTATTTAACACGGCCGTACTTATTACTTTACTGTTTTTATTTCCAATCAAATCTGCATTTTGTCTTGGAGTTTTAAGCTCAGGTCGTTTAAGCAATCTGTCATTAGTAAATCTATTTTTAAACAGCGGATTCGTTAAAGTGTACTTGGGCGTACCAACTAAATCATTACTTTTAGATGTCTTTTTCAAGTCTTTTCTTACATCATTCTCAGAATTATTTTGCTCCATAGAAGATTTATTTATATTAAATGTGCTTGAAGTTGGTTTCAATCTTGAAGTAGTCAATTCACTAGCAGCTCCATTAGAGTCAAATCTAGATCTTGCTTTTGATGTAATAGATGGCATACGGTGACTATTTCTAAGCGATCCACGAGGTGATGTCGGTAAATTTACCTCTTTTAATACTTTTGGTGTTGCACTAAGTTTAGAGTTAGATATTTCAAAATCCTTATTAATTCTGGAAGGTGATTGTAAGCTTTTTGTTGTTGGCGAAAATGATATTTTCACTTTACTTTTAGGTTTATATTTACTCAGTACGGGAACTTTGCTATCTCGAAAGCGTGATATTGGCTCGGCTAAAAGATTTGAAATAGAATTTTTATTTATAGATAATTGTGGCGATTTTATTGAAGGGTAATTTATAAGAGAAGGTTCTGACGCAGATGCCTTTAATTTTGATCGTTCTGAGAGTTTTGATTTTGGAATATCTGAGGCTGTTATTTTTAACGACTTACTTTTAGGTAGCGTGACTTTCGGCGAATTAAATTTTGTTTTATTTATAGAATTAGATTTTTTCAACAATGGGTTCTCTTTCCATAATTCTTCTTCACTTCTGGCGTCTGTATAACGAACTGGTTTACGTTCACTATAACTGCGTAAAATTGCCGGTTGACTATGTTTCTTATTTCCTTGACTCAAAGGAGATAAATTCAAAGAAGGTAATAATGACGGATCAATAATACGGTCACGAATCGACTCAAGACGGTCATTAAAATCATAATGTATTGCTTTTAGTTTATCATTGACATCTTCATGAGTTCTAGAAACTGCTTGCAGAAATTCATGTGGATTTGATAACGAATCGCCGATATTAGCTAAATCACTGTTTCTTACATCTTTTAATGTAGTTTCAAAGGTTTGCTGAATATCTCGTAGTGTATTTTTTGCATGAGATCTAATATTATCTGAAATTGTTTGACCAGAGCGTAATGTATCATCGAATGCATTTCTACTAGTTATTTCTAAAGGTGTAATTAATAGATTATGTGCATTTTCTTTTACCGTTTCATGTAAATCTTCTAACGTGGGTAAGTTGTTTAAAGTTGTTCCCAATATTGTTGAATCTTTACCTATTCTTCCTAAAGAGGTATTTGGTCCCATACTCAAAGTTGCTCCAAATATACCATTTTTATTATTTATTGACGATTCCAGTTTCAAAGGCGCAATCCCCAGAGTTTTGGGGATAGGTAATTTTGCTTTATATGAATTTATATTTAATCTAGGTAATTTTGGAATAATATTTTGTTGACCTATTAATAATGGGTTCAATTGAAAAACGTCCAAGTTGATATCTTCTAAAGGTATCAGCGATGGTGCTAAAACTTTAGAGAAAGGTGTACTTGCTTGTGTAGCCATAATTGAGCTCTCATCATCACTATCATCGTCATCATCACTATGCTCAGCCGTAGATGTATCTACATTATTATTAGGTCTATCAAATATGTTAGATATGACTGATTTTCCTCTCAAATTTTTAAGAGACGGCAAATTAATATTTAAAATGTCACCAATATTTAACTTAGAATCGCGTAAATTAGACCTAAAAATGTTGTGAATAGATTTTGAATCGTCCGCTGGAATAGTATTTCCAACTGGATCACTAGCTTCCGCTACCATTTCGATATTTTTACCTTCATTAATAGCAATATTACTGTCTGAGCATGAATTTTGTATTTCATCTTTAGTTAGTTCATTTGATCTGACATTTGTGATATCTGTAATATCCCTGTTTGGCATTTCTGTAGTAGTTTCGATATTTTTAATTAGAATACTTTTTGCATTTGAATTACTTGGAAAACCATTAACGGATTCCTCTAATTCAGTAGACTCGATGTAACTATGAGGCATATCTTCGTCACATTCTAAAATTTGTGAAGCCAATGTCTCCTTATCCTGTCTAGTACTTAAGTCCAGTAAGTTATCTGACATATTCTGAAGTTCTTGACTACTAACGTTATTTGAACTATCATCAGTGGTTTGTGGTATTCTAATAAATTCATTTGACTTATCTTTCAATTCTATTGATTCGCTGTCATCATCATTTTTAACTGTATGATATTCCTTGCTGTCATTATTATTATTATTATCGGCTGTTTTAATATTATCTGATTCATCTGTAACGCTATAATCACTTTTAGGTTTTCTTATGTCTTCTAACGTTTTCGAAATACTTTCTTTTAATGATGATAGATCATTAACAATTTTACTAAGTGGATTTGATTTCAATGTATCTATTCCTTCTTCAGTATCAAATTCGTTGCTACCAACACTCCCTTTCTCGTCATCATATGTCTCCTTAGGTTCAACTACTAAATTTGAGTCAGTATTATCTTCATTATGTAGCATATTATCCATATTTTCTGTCTGTAAACAATCTTCTTTATTTTGTCTTTTATTATTAGACTGCATTTCTATCATATCTTTAACATTATCTACGTCGTCGTTATCATTATTGTTTAGATCTGTTATCTCAGAACTATTAATGTCTTCATTTGATAAATTACTTAAGACATTAGTAACACCGCTTTCTTCACTGTCGGTTACTTGTGATTCAAAATTGTTAATGTTAGGAGCTTTATTGTTTTTAACTATCACTTTGCTTTCTGAAGCACTTGGTAATGCATCTAATATATGAGTTCCTTTCATACTTTGGACAGGTTCATTTAAATGGTTTTGAGAAAATATTACTTGTGGAGTATTTTCAGTATCTATTGTATTACTATACTGCATAGTTTTAGAACAGTTTTCCTCACTTTTAATGTTGTCCTCATTCCAAGTTACTTTTGTTTCCGAAGGACTGGATACTGCATCAGTTAATTTAATGTCATGGTTGGAATTGGGTATTATTTGTACATTTGGGAATTGGTTGGTATGACTTTTTTCGTCTCCATAATTGTCAAGATATTTTTGTTCGTCTTTTAGTTTTAATTCGTTACGACTTAAATTGGAAGATTTAAAATCTTTTCTATTCTTACCTTCTAATACAGATGAAAACTGTGGTATATCATCTTCTGCATTTTGAACTTCCTTGTTTACAGTCTTCACTGGAGGAATTAGTTCCACGTCTTTCAACTTCAGTAGATTCTTTAAATAAAATGGTTTCATTGTAGTAAAGCTTAATCCAGGAAATGGTAATAAGGATTTTATTTTTAATTTTGGATCTATAATACCACTGTTACTCATTTGTTCTGCAATTGATATTGGCTGATTATCAGTATTAATATTTTCAGTAACGTCTTTATTAAATTTGTTAGGACCTATGATTTGTTTTAGTATATGATGTGGTTTTAGCTTACCTACATCATTATTGAATAACGTTAAAGTATTAGGTTGTGTTATAATATTATTATTTCCTTTTAACGCATCTGCATTATTTTTGTCGGCGTCATCCGAAAACAAATTAAACAGGGAAGGGTTAGATTTTAATTTTGGATAATTTTTTTCTTTAGCATTTGTAACTATTTGTTCGTTTACGTTGCTAGCGCCTACACTACTATCCATATCTAAAACATTCCTATGCAATAAAGGTTTAATTTTAGGTGCATAATATATTTCAGATAATAAATTTGAAGGTTTTAATATTGGTTCCTTAACCATAATTTTCGATCTTCCAAGGGGATGAATGCATCTAGATTCATGATTGCGAGATTCTTCGGGAATAACACCATCCTGTTCATCATTTGGATTTATGATAAAAGCTACAACATTTTTAGCGGTATCTGAAGCTGAATTAATATTACTTTCAACGTCATCATTCGCTCGCATAGCGCTCCTAGCAGCATCTCTTACCAATGCGTCTTCATATTCTTCATCTGTAGCCTGGCGAAGAGTTTCTAAAACGGAGGAAGCTAGACCCACTTCTGGATGCAAAAGTGGCTTGACATCTGCGTTTTTATCGCTGGAGCTGTAATATAAAAAAAATCTGTTATAGATTTATCGTAATAATTCCACATAGCACATATCAATAAAGGAACGATAATTATCACTTGGTTACTTAATGAAATATAATTATATTTTAATAATATACATAATTTTATGTTTTGCAAGTGTATATGTGTTGATGCAATATATATATGCGAATGTGGATATACATATATAGGTATATATATATAACAACTTTAATTAATATTATTGACATGTGTAATAGTAGCGATGTAATCATATAACTCAAAGCATGCTGTGGTTACCTATAAATATGAGAACAGTTAGTATAAGGACATTAGAATTGTATAGAATCACGACAGATTTTTATTGCTGTATCTTGTGTTGGTAATCCTTAAAAAAAAAATAGCTCACCTCACGTCAGGCCGAACAGCACGGTCTGTTGACGGAAAGAATACAGATGACGATCCCATGGAGTCAGCATCTCGAACCCTGCACGGGCAGTCATCCACAAAGCTACTAATTGCCTTCGGAAATACGCCGCTCGTGTCTCCCAAAGTATCCTGGTCTTTATCTGAATTGCCTTCATTATTAGCAAAATCATTCGTGTTGCGCTGTTCAGACAAATTTGGTACAAAGCGCTGATCCGAAACATATGTAACGGGGTCTTTGGGACAAGGACAGCATTCGTTTGGTTGCTTCTGTTCATGTTCGTTGATCGGTTGCGATGTTATCTAAAAAGAAAGAAAAGTTATTTTTAGAAAACGTGTTTTTATGATATAATATTAGTAGAATGACTTAAATTAAATGGGCCGTATGCTTGTTTCTACCATCGTAATATAAAAAATATAACAGTCCAGACCTGTCAGGTAACGACGCGGTGGCCGGGTGTTGGACTTTATAAAATATGGTTAAGCTATAGCAGGTTTTTTTCGGATTACTCTAATGCTGTTAGCCACAGCTAACCTATACAGCTTCACCGGACGATAGGGGAGTGAGTGCAGATGGCACTCCAAACCGCAAAAGGACTTATGGAACGGTTGAAGGCCAACTCCCGCCTGGCTCTCTCCGACTTTAGTCCGAGGGCACCGCTAGGGGTTCAAACATAGGGTCAAGCCGTAGTAATTTCGATCGCCGTTTGTATTGCACGGGGGATCGATCGGAGGGAGATATAGCAGGGTCATCCGTTATACTCATGAATGGGTGCAGCTTATGAATACCTAGGGGATTCTTATCACTATGACTGATTTATTTTGTTCTCTCAAGTAACTATTTAAATATTTATTAATTAAATATTGCAGTTTTGTAATATCTATTTGGTATAGGTATTGTATTTACACACACACACACATATATAAGTTGATGACATCTGTTTGTTAAGCAACAACCAACTTTACTGCTCTAACTTCTTGGATTTGTTAAATTTATTTTATGTAACTAAATTTAGAACATATCATAAAAATACCTACTAATTAAAAATGCTTAGGTTTGCATATTAACTTTATACGAATAAAGGTTATTATTGCTTCTACTATAAATAATAATTCTTCAAATAAACTTAATATTATCAATTTTGAATAGTTATATTTTTTTATTGTACCACTCATTCGGAACGCAGACGTGTCACAAAAATAATGATCAGAAACCTTGCGCGTTGCTCTTTTAATTAAATAAGGGACAGTAATATGACTACTAGGTAAATAATTTAACTGATAGATATAATTGAATACATTTTGTATAAACATTTTAAATCCAGAACAATACAAACAGACACACTCACACATGTTTGTATGGTGCGGAAATTGAACCCACAAACATAATCCTAACTGACGACGGTCCTCATACAAGGTTGTACCAGATTTTAACCTAAGAAAATTGACCAAAATACCCTGATGATTAGATTGCCAAATTGAGATTGTACAGGAGGCTTTATTACTTTATTTATTTGTTAGTCTCGTTAAATATTTGAACATGGGCAACCCTGCCTGCACTAAAATAAAATTGAATCGCCCCAGATCTCTATTTATTACGGAAAAAAACTACAAAATCATTAAATACTTGAAAGATTTTTTTAATAATAATATTTATTATTAATTATTATCTTTTTTAATAATACCTATCTTTTATTTTATCTTTAGTTTATTGACAGTTTTCTCATCTCAAAATAACTCCGAATTGAGTCTGTAATAGACCTACATGAATAAAGATATTTTGAATTACAATTTAAAACAACTCACACCGCGCCATCTAGTCCCACGCTTAGCAGAGCATGTGTTATATACTATATATAAAACATTTTTTTTATAATTACATAATTCATTTACCAAAACCGACATAAACGACCATGCTCATAAATAATTTAATAGTTAAATATTGGTAACGTGCGAGGAATCGAAACCGCGACTAAGGGAAGTAAGGCGGTGTGCTAAACCGCTAGACCAGCGAGACCGTCAAAATCATTTAACGCACCTGAGTTTATTCACTACATACAAAATTAATCAAATCATTTCTTTATTTAATACTACCTGACCCGCAACTTCGTTTGCGTTTCATTTCGCTACCTTTTGCAATATTTTTCATTGCAGCTCCGCTCCTATAGGTCGTAGCTTAATGTTATAATAATAGCTTAAAGCCTTCCTCGACAAATGGACTATCGAACACAAAGATATATATACATAAAGATATCGAACAGAAAGTATTCAAACAAACAACCAACTTTTTAACTTTGTAATATTAAGCATAGATTAGTTAGAAATTAAAATTGTACTCACAGTGTTCCAATGCACCAGTAAACCCAAAAGCAACCACCGCCACATCTTTGCCACACATGGAATTAGCTCACAAATGATGGCTGTGACCAGAGCTCATCATATATTAGAACGGTGGTGAGCTATCATATCTATCAGATATCAATTATCGAAGACAAAGCACGTTTGCCCTACGCGGTCATCGAGCCGTGACCACGGCTACTTAGTTATCCAATCTCACGTAGCGTTCACAGATCGTTGATAATTAACGTTATCACTATCTAAATCTGTGTTATATGATTTCTACAAATAACCTATTTCTCTTTAGGCATAGACCACACGACCGACTTTAATACAATCATTTGAATGAGCCTTATAATTAACATGTTTTAATCAAACTAATCTAAACTAGTGAAACCTGGGTCCTTACTAAAACCATTAGAAGAATCCACCGATCCGTAAGAATAGTCAGATTTGAATATATTTATATCATACACTCAATTTATGCATATCATCTCACAATCGATCTTTTTTTAAATTATCCTCTCGCTTTACATGTTGCATATCTTCATAATTTAATATTTAAAACTTGATTACATCATATTCCTCACTCCTTTGCATAACATGGTCATACCAGGATAATAATTATAATAATATTTATTTATTACCCGAAAAAGACTCACAAACATACATTTATTTTTTACATTTGCATACGTACATTGTTTACTTTAAATAAAAAACAAAAAGGATTTGAACCTCTTAAACAACATATGCTAAACAATTGACAGAAACCAACTAAGGTTAAATTACATCAAACTACATTTTCTGAGCAAAAGGGCTGACTCAGCTGATGCTGTTAGCATAGCTTGTTGCTGTTTTTCAGTCAGTCCCTCTCACTGAAAAAAACGTACTAATATTGCGAGCTACTTAATAAACAGTGCAGGGGTTATCTGTTACGTCATAGCTTCTCTATCAATTCCTTTACTGGGTTAACTTTCAAACTTCCTCGAATATACTCTGTCTTATTGTAATATTTCTGGTAGGCCCAAATGTCCATGTCAGCATTTACATATCTGCCATACTCGTATATACAAGTCTTTCATCCGTTCCCAGATTAGGTATATCTACATTAAAATAAAGTATGTACTTTTAATCTTATTTCAAGCAAGCAAGGCAGTGGTCATCAGATAATTACATATTATACTTTTATTTTTTTTTAATCCTTACTACTTTACTAATATTATAAATGCGAAAGTAAGTTTGTCTCCCTTTCACGCCAAAACTACTGAACCGGTATAAATGAAATTTAGTATACAGATAGTCTAAACTCTGAGAAAGGTCATGGGGCTACTTTTTAATGCGATAAGAGGGTTATAAGGCGTTGAAAGAAAAGATGAAATTTTTCTTATGGTGTTTAGATTAGATTATTGAATAATTTTCTTTATTTGGTCAAGGTTACTATAATACGCGGTCTAAGTCCCGGGCAGAGCTAGCAAAATATAATTCTGTTACTCCCCGATAATGTAGTCTACTGTTAAAAAGTATTTTTGAGTTATTGCAAAGATATAATCTACGAGCAACTCAATTCTTATTCAAATTAGTGTTATATCAATTTATATCCAAAGCCCCCAAGCTATGCCCTCAATTTTCACCACATAGTTAATTCCTGGTGAATTCATGACGATGCATTCATCGTCATGAATTCACCAGGAATCAGGATCATATCACCGTCATTACGGCAATATGATCTGAATTCGTACATTTAAATTTTTTTATCCTACACTGATGCTTTACTAGCAAGAGAAAGGGTTTGTTAGTAATGTGGACCAATGACCCCATTGCTAGCAATGTACCATATCAATTTGACCTCCACACAGTTCTCCCTGGACACCACCATGATAAATTCCTGATGAATTTACCACAATAATCGGCCTGATTTCATACTCATTTTATCATTTTATCAACTGGAGCCTTGCTAGCGTAAATCGTTAAAGCATGCGAGTGCACCATTACATCATTAATTCAGGATGTTTTACTAGCGTATAAGCGACACTAGTACAATTCCATCGTTATCATCATCCTATAAAAAACACTAGACATTTCAAAGGCTGGTTTTGAATGTTAGTTTTACTCACTTTCCACAACAGCTATATAATTACACGTCACGAAGTATTTTAACAGCGAATTAATATGTAATTTCAGCGCTACTCACTTTTAAAAACATATAGATTACAAAACATGCTGCTTAGCAAATGAAGTAATAAAAATAGAGACACCGGGTTGATCAGATGAGTTTGTGCAAAGTCTAAGACATAAAAGTACCTAGAAATATTCATAAAAAGTAGTCTGTATGACTACTTATATAATATAATACAACCTTAACAAAAAAATTTTAGTCTTTCTAAAATATTATGTAGATAACAAGTACAAGTGGCATAATTTGAGTATTTATGTTACCTATTTTTTTACTTTTCAGCAGGATATTAATAATTACATTAGTATTTTAGGAATATTACTTTATCAGTATCTTAAATACTACTTTGCCTACATTAAAATGGTAGGCGCTTTCCGTTGTAGAGATGTTTTATAAATATAAATAATAAGTGTTTCTCAAAAGTTCATTTGTAACAGAAATTATGTCCGATTACATAATATTAATGTCTTCTAATGCAACAAAATATTATTGCTCTCTACTATTATTTTTTCATAAATGTTATTTAATTACTTTACAACTTTTATAAATAATAATACAATAATGTGTTATTGTGTTACATTATTTAATGATATAAATATGACACCTACATATCTGCCAATAAACTGTTCTACAAGTTGGTGAGTCATTCAATAACAATAACTGTCTTTAATAAATAATGGAAAATAAACAAGTTCTCAATATTTGTACCTATTGCAATATATGAAAAGAATACAATATTTTTAAAGATATCACTCCCTCTAAACTACCCCTAAAGCATTGCTTCCAACATGTAATTTGCCATTAGAAGAATTTTAAAAATACTTTCCATTAAAAAATAAAATAATAAACTCTTTTTATTTGTGGTTTTTTACCACTGAAAATAAGATATGTTATAAATATTGTTTCCTTATTTTATTACTAAAATATGATATAATATAACAGGAAAATGGTGAAATAAAATTTACAAACTTTGGTCTGTATGATCATGCAGACAAAATTTCTAAATTTTGACAGGTACTTTAGTACTCAGGTAGTCATTCAGTAAAATTCCAGTGATTTAATTACTAATTTATTAGATACCTAGAGAAGAAAATATGTCACAGGTCAGGATATGAATGACCCTTTACTTTTTTTGAAGTTCTATCAGCTGGTTTAGTACATAAATGATGGCCAAAGATAGTGAATTTATAATTTTTAAATATAATTTCAAAAACAGAATCTTTTTTCGGTAAAGTTGTTGATATGTTGTTCTCGGATACTATTTTGAAGGTGTTTCTTGTGTCCATGACACAAATGCCCATTTTACCAATATATCCTGGACATTTAGAACGAACAACATGCAGATGACTTCCATGAAAGTCCGCTTTGTAAAGTGTTTGAGTCACATTTTCCCATCCCCTGCTATTAGGTGTTGGGACTTCCATGTCTTTGCCCAATATTTGTTCCATGTAATTCTCCCAAGTATTATTTATAGGTAATACATCTGCATATCGAATAAAATTCCGTGGTTGATTGTAAAAGCCTAGCGACTTCTTTTGTTTCCTTGAAAGACCATTTTTCTTGCGTTTGGGTTTACGTTTAATCCGTTTGCTCTTGACTTTAGAAAGCAGGAAACCCTTTTTTGCTTCGCTCTGCACGTTCGGTATATCCTTTTTAGGCACATGTGATATAATAAAATTCATAACTGCTTGCGTACTCGCGCTCTGGTATGAAATTTCTTCTGACATTTTATTACTTACTAATCTATCAACTCTTTTGCTGAAGAACGTCGATTGTATGCGTTATTGGAGCAATCTATGGGATCTTGCAGGGAGTACTATATTCAGCAATGCAGTGAGTGGCGAACATATACTAAAATAAAACCATTTCAAGTTATGGATGAAACCAGTAAAAACAAATAATATATATAAAATTAATAATTAAATAATCCACATCAGTGAACATTACATAGAAAACACAAACATTATTATATTGAAAGATTTGATTTTGAAAGTGACAGACAAGTATGATCAGTCAAGCTAGCTCAAAATAATGTCAATGTCACAATTGTCATTATGAAATGTCTGAATATATTTTCCTTTACTTTTGTGTTTTGTGAACTGTTGTGAAATTTTTCCGAATTGTGTTGTCGAATTCATTTGTACTTAATTTTCCACCAATTATTACCCATTGAACATCCTCCTCATCAATACATAACGAAGTTCTATCTGTGACCTTATTTACCAAAATGACAAGCACAAAAGATGAACCCGCCGTTTTAGCACAACAATGTTTCTTAAAAAAGGACTACACTTCTGCATTGCAACATTTAAATGAATTGGAAAGTGTAATTGGTAGCAACAACAAACGAATACAACACAATAAAGCTGTCGTTGAATTCATGATTAGTGATATGAAAAACGTTGACAAGTTCAAGAAAGCCATCGGTGAATTAACAAATTTAACTTTCCCCGATAACGAAATAAAAGATCTCAGCTCTCCGTGCCTACTGTACAATTATGCTGTACTGTTATATCACTCACGTTACTACTACCAATGTGTATATGTGCTAGAAAAAATTGTTTCTTCAAAGAACATCAAAGACAGTAAATTGTATCAACAAATTGTTCTACTTCTTTTAGAAGCTACTCTCTGTAGACGTACGTATGATAAAACATTAGAGATAGCTAAGAACCATGGAGAATCATTGAAAAATAACCCTGAATTTGGTGAATTGTTTGAGAGACTTGTAAATAGAGCACAACTTCTATCTGGTCAAAATATCAAGCTTAACTTAAAAAATGATTCAATTGAAAATGTGTTTATAATAGCTCAACAACTATACATGAAGGGAGATGTAAATGAAGCAGCTAACACTCTCGGCCTGTACAAAACACTGAAATACAATTATGATTTAAAATCACAGGGTGAGGACATATGGGCTGCTATTAATAATAATTTGGGTGTTATTTACTTATCAATACGGAAACCTTTTTTAGCTTCGAAATATTTTCAACATGCTGTGAAAGAACATTTCAGAGCTATAGAGAGTCCAGACAGTGAAAAGTTGATAGCCTGTAAAGACAGACCTCTTTATGTATTTAATTTAGGATTAGCATTATTAGCAGCCAACAACTCGGAGGGATCATTTGAATGTCTTGTAGAAGTGGCACGTCACTATCCCAATAACCCTCGTATATGGCTACACTTGGCTGAATGTTGTGTGAAGAAGTGCTGTAGTGAGGAGGCTCAACAATACATGGTGAAGAAACTTGGCAGTGGGCCACACACACGCATCTTATTGTCAAAAGAAAATAAAGATAAATATTCCACATCTGGTGAATCTTTTGCAATACCATCTCTCTCATTAGAATTTGCTGCTCTGTGCCTAAGAAATGCTATAACATTACTGCCTAATTCTGAGGAAGGTGATGAAGATGTGGCAACACGTCTCATACAAGCGCCACCTGGTCCTCCTATTAATTGGAAGCAGAGGTGCGAGTTAAAAAATTCCACACTCGTCTTACAGAGTTATGTCTTGTTGCATTTGCAAGATCCACTGTCGGCGCTTATGAGTGCTAATGATTTACTTAGCCAAACCGATGTATCTAACAGCCATAAAGCATGGGCCCATATATATGCCGCTGAAGCTTTAATTAATTTAGATAGAATAACAGATGCTGTGGAACATTTACAACCTCCGATGATCCATGAACTAGTATCCGGGATGCCATATCAGATGCGCGATATGATTGCAGTATCTGTTTGGGCAAAAGCAGCAGTCTGTCACATACTAAAAGGGGACTTGGTGACAGCAAGGAAAATTCTACTACAAATCAACTCGCCACGGGTGTTACCACTGCAGATGTATTTAGAAATTTGTACAGGAAATATTGAAAATTGTCATTCTATATTAAGAAAGTTAAGATTTGCCAATTCCGCTCAGTAGTTAATAAATATTTAAATCATATTACATGTTTTATTTCTCTATATGCTTTTGTAATTAAAAAATGTACCTGAAAGTCAAGACTGGTTGTAGAAATATATAACCAATGTAAATCTATTCAGTAGATATTCGAATATGGATTTTTTATATACATAATTTTAAAATATCTGCTTCCATAAGCAATTTGTAAAGTTGTGCGTTTAAAAAATTTGTGCAATTATAATCAGTTTATACGGCTTTAAAAATTTTCAACTATCTTAAGACTAGTATAGAAGGAATAAATTGAGTTCAGAAAGTCCTTCGTGCAGTCGAAAAACTTAGTATATTGACATGACATTGACGTAAAATTCTATTTTAAATTATTTTTGTTGAACAAGATGCATGGAATGGAATGAATTACATCAGGGATGTCAGAAGTACCAATTATATCGATTTATAATCGATGAATTTATCTGCAGTTTAAATAATTGTTGTCCGATTATATTTATTTTCAATAGGTATAATTGGGATAATATAAGCAATATGGCGGACAAAATAAAATAGGTGAGATGTAAAGTTTACCCCTAAATTTATTGTATAAGAATACAAAAGTATTGACTACAGTAAGAATATTGAACATTTATAACAGATTCCATATTATTTTTATAATCATGTAGGTAATGAAACTCAATGAATTCAGCGCGAAGCGAGACGCAGTGATTGAAATGAATATAATAGTCGCCGAAATAGAGAGGATAACATAAGTTTTGTATGTAGGTACAAAAATTCACCGTACTTGTATATTATAAACCGAATTTACATTAGTTTGACATTGATGTTATCTAATGAAATATCTATATTCTTATGAACTCAATGGTCTAAAGGCATTTGAAATAAAAAATTAAAGCAGCTATTTTATATCGATTAATCGATTTTTAGTCACTTAAATATTTTCACATCCCTACTGAATGGCGATAACATTACAGTTACAACAACAAACAAATCTTTAAAAAAACAGCACAAATTTTAAATTTTGCGGACAAATATTTTTATTGTAAGTTTTTTTCTAAATTTCGACGTTACCCAAAGAAATTACTATAATATTTTATTACCCATTTCAGTATGTTTAATTTGTTCAGTTGTGAATAAATAATGAAATTAATGTATATTATATTATGTGTAACAATACAAGCTCGTTGCAATCATGAATCGAATGTTTAGATTTTGCATTGTGTAAACATAAAACATTATAAAATAATATAATGTCACGGCGGTCTGTGTTTTTATTCGCTGCTTTGATAGTAATGCTGTATTTCTCTATAATATTATTTATGTTAAATCCTTTAAATGGGGCTAAAAGTCCATATTATGGGAACGGTTATTTGAACCATTTCGCTTATCGGCAACTGCCACAAGTAAATTGGTGTAAGGAACTAAAGTTGCGGTCTCCGCCATCGCCTGATGTGGTTGCGCTCATCTCTTACCCTGGAAGCGGTAATACATGGCTTAGGTACCTTCTACAACAGGTTACAGGTAAATAATTCAAAAATATATATATTTTTTTATTATGGAAACTTTAATTTAATACAATGAACAATTTATTTTGTTTTGAATGAGTAAATAAATACAGATTCTACAGACACATTTCAACTAATAGACATAACAATATTACTCTTTTAAAATAAAAGTTATAAAACTTTACATTACCATGATTTTATCTGAATACAAATTACTAACATTATTGAATTTAGTAATTACAATATTTAAGATACATGTAGAATTAAGTAACAAAATAATAAAGTTATGCTGAGTTGAGCAGACCAGTGCTTACATGTAGCACTCATTTTGTTTCTAGGTATTGTCACAGGCTCAATTTATATGGATTATGGTCTTCGTGTGCATGGTTTCCCAGCAGAAAATATAACAGATGGCTCAGTACTTGTGGTAAAAACTCATGAAGCACCACCACTAGAGTCCAACAAGTTTAAATCTGCTGTTGTGTTAATGAGAAATCCAAGAGACTGCATATTGGTAAGTGTGTATATGAATTTTTTTTTGTTCATGTATATATTTCCCCTATATAAAAACTAACTCATTTAAACCCATTTTAACAGTTGTCACTTTTAAGTTTAGAATACATCCTATCTAATATACACAGTATTACACAGTTACCATAGCCTATGGATGCTTGTAACACGATGGGTGTCACATGCACATTGCCAACCCTTAAGAAACCCTAATATATTATCTTGAAAAACCCCATAGTGTAGTCTACCAAGACTAAATGGCAACTGTTTTATAACTGTATTAGCATTTCTGATTTATTTGATGTTATAAATAATTAGGCTATGTTTAATAATATAGTAATTAAAAATTATAAATTTATTGTAAATATTATTATTGGTTGTTTGATAAGAAAACCATAATCTGTGCTTTTTTGATCAGAATAACAATTCAATTATTAAAACTTAAGTTTAATTTTTAATTTAGAATTCATTTTAAAATCATATTTGTACTTTTTCTTTTTCGTATCCATTTGTTTGTTACATTTTCATAGCTAAATGGCTGAGCCAATCTTAGTGAAATTTTGAAATGAGAATATATTGTATCACAACAACAAACATAGCACTCTTAACTTAGTAAAGTTAGCTAGTTTTCTGTAAATATTTGCTCACAGAGAATTTATAATCTGTAAATGTAGATTAATCACTTAGTGGTAGATATAAGTAATATTAATATGTGCATGTTTTGTGTACAGAATCAGTTATCTGTTGCAGCGGAATATTGCTTCCAGAATCGTTATAACATTTTGTTCTTTCTGCACATTTATTTTGGTAATTTTTATTTCTCTATTAATGTTTTTTATTTTTCTCTACTATTAATTTAGTTACACAGAAATTTGAATGAGTATGTCCTAAATTTTTGTGTCCTAAATCCTAATCCCTCCTAAAAAACCTAAGTTCAGGTTTTTGGACATAGAAAAAAATATTGATTTTCTTCCTTTTATATATATTTTAATTCTACTATGAAATGCAAAAGTTTGTGAGTAATAAAGAATGAATAGAAGGATATCTGTAGAAATTATCATATTTCAATTTCTTTAATACCACCATATTGCGCACAATATATATTAACATATGTTTATTATAAAAATGTGTTTATTATTAATTATTCACAAATTAATATAAGCATGAGAATACATCTATTAACACTCATTAATAATATTTGTATACACACATTGGCTGTATACAAACTTTCTATCTGAATGTATTAATGTTATTTATTGATTTATCATCTATAAGCAAACTATTATAATATTTAGATTGTGCTAATATGTACTAGTAAATTGGTACATTACAATTTTATTCCAAATTTAGGTGTATGAGTTTCATGAGTGTGATTGTTTGTATTGGTCTGGATATTGTATATGTATTTATAAAAAAATCTTGAAGTGTAACTATCAGTTTTGTAGTACCGATAACACAAGCTTTGCTTCGCTTGGGACTAGATGATGCTGTGTGATGTGTAATATTTGAAGTTCATGTTAGTGAAATTATACTACAGACATTTTAGTTCTCTGTAACTATTTTGAACTCCTCATGAATGGATCTATTACTTTAGTTATTGATTCTTTTCACTTTATACTATTTATATTCAGACTTTCTGTCTTTATGTTAATATTGAGTTTTTTATACATGTTTTTTGTATTTATATGTTTAATATTATATGTTACAGGCTGATTTTAATAGACTTCACAAAGGTCATATTGGGACAGCACCAAAATCTGCTTTTAGGATGATATCACAAGAGCATAAAAAGATAGGTAGGCATAAAAAGAGCATACAAGGTATGTTATTTAATTTTTAGTCTAATTCAAATTTAAATAGAATAAATATTAAATTTGTAGTTTACATGGTTTGTCTAACAACTGTCAAAAGATAATAATGTAGATTATAATATCTAATAGTATAATTAGAGTGTCCAGACCTCGTATTTTTAGACTTATAGAATGCAAAGATTGAACATTAGGTCAGTTCAGTCACCCCTATCTTGACAAAATTACTAGCAATTTATGAATTAATGAACATAGCCCATCGTGGTAAATTCATCATGAATTTATGACGATGTTTTCGAGGGAGAACCGCGTGGAGTTCAACCTGACATGATAAATTGCTAGGTATGGGGTCATCACTCCACATTACTAACAAATGTCTTCAAATATTCCGTTAGATTTAAATACTCTAATTAATGTTTCGACGTGGCAAATGTCATGACAATGTCTGTCTACCCTATCTGGGATTGTGGTTGTGAGTAAGTGTATGATATGTTTTTTTTTAGATTGGACAACGTACGTGAAAAATCAGTTAAAAGTGTGGGAGACATTACATCAAATATGGTTCACAAAGTTCCAGGGTCCTATACACATAGTGTTCTATGAAGTCCTGGTATCTGATACTCGAAACACTCTGCAGGGAATATTGAATTTCCTGAATTTCACTGTGTCTCAGGTAGTTTTTTATAATATTATATCTATATATTTATTTTGATTGCCTCACTTCCGATGGTCGCAGTTTCGATTCTTGCGAACAAAAAACTAATCTTTATGTTGTATCTAGGCGGACATGGATTGTGCGATGAATCGCAAAGAAGGCATATACAGACGGAAGAAAAAACTACAAGGCTTCGACCCTTTTACTCCAGCTATGTATAAAGCTATAGAAATTTCCAGAAGTCGTGTGCTTAATATAATAAAATACTATCGAAAGACGCATAACTTAAGTGGGTAATCATCGTTAGCCCACTGCAGTCCACTGCTGGACATAGGCCTCTCTTAAGGCACGCCACTGACTACCTACATATAATTAAATACTGGATTAGTTATAAAAGGTATAGGTACAAAGCCGAAAACTAGGTAGTTGGTAATTCTAGTGGAACTAAATCATATGATTTTTTTTAAATTCTTGTTTCTCCTTTTTTTTAATTTGAATAAATACCATCCCTACCTTTCGGCTGGCATGCCCTTTACAACTAACCCAGCATACTTAGATATGTAAGACGATACAATATGCATATCATGTGTACACACATAATATAATTTTCTGCAGCTCACCTGTAAGGTACAGTCATCTTAATAAATATAAGGGTAAGATATCACTAACACAATCTTATATAGTCTTTGTGTTTGTTGACTAGTTCCTAGTTTCGTTTTGAGAAACAAATAATATATTTGCATTAATTAGTTTTAATTTTCTCTTTTAGTACACATTATTAATGTGGTTAATTAGGTCATAACATGAATGATTTTATCATGAATAAGGTTTATTTCTCTCAAGCTCTCATGATCTGACTGGTGACCACGGCTAGTGATACTTAGTCGAAACGTCGCGAGAGGTAAACAGGTTATTTTGCCATAAATTTATTCATGTTAAGATCTGGCTAACTATATTAATCTATATATATAAAAATTAATTGCTCTTCGTTAGTCTCGCTAAAACTAGAGAACGGCTGAACCGATTTGGCTAATTTTAGTATTTAAACATTCGTGGAAGTCCAGGGAAGGTTTAAACGGTGATAAAATGTAAAGAAATTGCATGGATAATAGTAAAAACAACATTTTAATTTTCCCATACAAACTGACAAAGCAGGATGCGTTTAGAAATTTATTGTATAACTAAACTTCAAAACTCCTTTAATTCTGAGGTGGAACGAAGTTCACGGGGTCAGCTAGTAATGAATAAATTTGCATTATTACAATATCAAAATATATGTATATTAGGTAAAGAAATGTACCCACATATATATCGTATATAAGCAACCAATATTCTCTTAACCGTAAAAATAACCATACTACAATCATGTAAATATAATGCAATATACATAGTTTTGATTCGACTCTATTATGAATATGTTGTTTAAAATGTTACTGCAAACATTTCGAGGTTGCTCAATATTGCTACTATACCCGTCCATGTGTTCTCGCTGAAACTTTAAAATATCGTTTGAAAATACTTTCTGTAAAATAATGTTATAAATATTGTACAAACATAAACTACAATCTTGACAGACAGAGGCCGGTGAGAACTAGTTCATAATGCTATTATTGATATGTGATGTAGGTAAAAAAACTATAGGACAATATATTTATAAAATCGGCCAAGAATTTATTGAGTTTATCCATTATATAATAATATTTTTTATAAATTGTTTGCAGTATAATTTAACCACCGTATTCAATTATAAATCTAGCTTGCAGAATTTTCTCGATCTCGAAGATAATAAATAGATATAATTGTAATTTTTAATGTAGAATTCTAAACGTGGGATATTTGTAAGGGTACATTTCCAAGAGTCAGACGGTACGTGGCGACAACGCTGCCCGATTGGTGCATTGATTGCTGCGCCCCGCCCTCTTTAGATCTGCGCTAATCCAACGTTGCCAGTACGAGACTTCCGGCCTGAACCTAATGTGAACGCAGGTTTACTAATCTAGTCGACTTTACTTCCTTTACAATGAAGCTTTAAGTGAGTGATTTTTCGATCTATTTATGTAATTAATCCTCAACGAATTAAGATGCCGACTTCTATGTGTTGAATCTGTGGCATCATAAACCAATTGACCGATTTTGATGAGGTATGTTTATTTCAAAGCTGATCTTTCTGTCTGACGCGTGTTCGAGTCGGTTGTTAGCTATATTTGTGAATATATGTTCAGGCATTTGAGAAATGATTTACTTATTTGGTTGACGAATGGATTTCAGTTACTTTTAGCGTCGGGGAGTATTTTTATTTAGTAGTACTTTTAATTTTTACATATGATACAATAAGCTTTAATTTATATTTTCTTACCAAACATATTGTTATTAATTTATTATCATAGGAAATATGTGACAATTTTGTTGTATAATTAGTAGTTCTTATCCTGATTGTACGGCCTAAAAATTATATCTACCTTTTTTTATTATCTAGTCAATATATTAGTTAATAGTATCTGAGATATCTGAAAATACTACTCTATACACAAAATAGATAAATATTTTATATAATCAATCTAGTTATGAACAAAAAAATCGTATACGTATGAAGATGTTAATATATAAGGATACAAAAACCGCAAGAACTCAAGTATATTACATATTTAAGGATGGTGAATAATGCTAAAAGAAAATAGTTCAAACATAAATTAATACTACTGAATATTAAGAAAAAAAACTACTTAGTTTTTGTATTCATTCATTTATGTTTTGAATTTTAAATTTTAATATACATTTATGTATTTTTTGTTATGTCATGATTAACTTTTATGTATAGCCTCTTTTAATACTCATGTGATTCAAACCAATTAGATTTTTTAATTTTTATATGTACAAATCTTTATCTTTTTTAAATGTTTCTGTTATATTAGTTTTCTAGTTATTTAGTTACTTACGGGCTCTACTTACTACTACAAATTTACTTAACAGCGCCAAATCCTTTTAAATTAGTTGAAAACTAAGGGCCTATACAAGATTTTACTTCTATTCTAAGACTGGATTTCATTCCTAAGAATGTGTATGAAATTATTTACTTAATATATAAATATTTATCAATGTAAATAATAAGTAATTCTTAGAAATAATTAGACCAGTAATAATATAGTTTATCTTTTATTATACAATAATAATAATGTAAATAGTAGGTATACATTTTAGATAAGCGAACTTATAACATTTACTTTAGATCTACTACTTTTGTTAGTGAATTTAATGTAAATAGATTCATTACAAAACTGCTTATTAGCAGATATATTCCTATCAACGAAAACTATACGTCACTAGGCAATTTCTGCTTATGGTTTCCTAGTCACATAGCAAAATACTTATTTATTTAGTCACAACGTTTTAAAGATAAATCTACCTTATTAAAAAAAATAAACGTTTAAAAAATTTGTTTTAGCTATTTAAATGTTGTAACTTATTTTTTCGTGTTATTTTCTTTAATTAAAAGTAACAAAATACAAATATTTACAAAGTGTTTATGTGTCTGTATTAGTATTTATGAGCAAGGAGAATATATTTCGTGATAAATTGTATCAAAGGCGCATTAGGAAGTTAGCCAAATAAAAACCCCACACGAGACGGAGCTCCCTCCATTTAGTTCCATTAGAGAGACAAAGTGTCCAGGATCCTGCGATCCATGAACGTGATATTAACATCATAGTATGCTATATTACCCTATTAACATGTTTTATTATACGAATGTGTATCAGAATGGACCTAAATGAAATATAGATACATTGTATTACAAGCTTTTTCTCAAATAAACAGTAATTATACGGGTAACAGTCAGCATTTATATAGGTTTATATTTCTTTTAGTAATTAAATAAAATACTTTTGTCTTTGCCATATTGGATTAAAATATGTGTAGGCTCTCAAAACTGGTAAAAAGTGTATTGTAAGTAATGTGCGGGTTGGTGCATCACCTAGATATATAAGAATTATTCAGCTGTAGACAACGATTAAGTAGGCACGCGCCGGAATACTGTTATGTTGAATTTTTATGTTTGATAATGTAATTTGTACTCCCTAACTAATGCTTTAAATTTTCTGTAATGATGTAATATTGTTCAAATAAAAAAAGGCAGTAACTAGCAGTACTTGTTTCGACTTTAAATGCGCAAAACTTGTGTTCGGTAGGCCTAATAAGAAATAATAATATATTCGAAGGTTGTTTACGAGCTTCTAAAATTACTCCGGTTCATTATATGTTTTTCATTAGTTTACAACATTAATAAAATACTAAACTTATAAAGTGGTCGTTCGTACACAGCTCAATAAGATCTTAATCTTAAGACTTGTATGTCAATAACGATTTTATAGTATTATATTAACTGCCAACAATAATTAATGTTTGTTTATTGTTAATTATTTTTAAGAGTATTTTATGTCTTACCAAAGAAGAATACTGGGTAATAAACTGTCTTCTACAAATTATAAATGTTTTTTTCTTATATCATTTGATAGCGTTATGGCCTAGCGATGTACCATGCCAGGTTGACCTCCACGTAGCTCCCTCTGGAAACCATTGTAATAAATTCGTGATGAATTTACCACGATGGGCTATGTTCATCTTATCATACATATACTGGTGCCCCGCCAGCGTAAACCGTTAGCGCAGGCGGGTGTACCATTCCATTATCATTCATAAGAACTAGTTGGTTTACTATATCCGAAATTGCGCGATTGCCCGGCAATTTATTTGATGAAAACACTCATATAACACCAAATTAATCCGAGAGGCACTGATAGTAGTCAACAGTCTGTTTAGCACACCGTCTTACTTAAAATTGTTACAAGAACATTGTAAGCAGATGATTTTTAGCTAGGTAGACAGCAACGTTGTCAGCATACCTGTCTCGCCGTTCTCATTTCAGCCAGCTATGGAGGCTGTTTCGGTTCTATGGATGAGACATGCAACGACATTACAACTATAAAGGCATAATACCTTAGTCCTTATTAGTGCCAATAACAGAAGGCAACGACGGGCCGAACAGATCGTGATACTAACTACTAAGCATGTATGTATGTAGACGCTATTTGCCAGTTTCTATTGGATAGTTCTTTCCTATTCTATGTATCACAGGTAACATAATATTACATATATGTATACAGACCTGACCTCGGTGATCTAGCGCTTTTGCACACCGCCATACATTCCGATGGTCGCGGGTTTAATTCTCACACGATACTATCAATTGTATTCACAAGTATGATCATAGTAGAGTAGTTGTTTTCATGTAAGCGTGTGGTATAATTAAATAGATTTATTTGTTAAAATATACATATTTAAATGTTAAAAAAAAAAACAAAAAAAACAATTATCCAGGTTAGAAGGCAATTTTAACTTATGATAAATGCAGTAAAACCACTTGATAAAAACTAAATATGCTTTATTTCACATCGTGTCAATATTCATTGGTCACAAACAGGTCTGCACTTCGACAAGGGAACTTACACGTCACTCAGAGCTTTGCGTTTACAATATAAAATATATGCAGTTAATAACAATCAGATTATGAATAAATTACAAAATCATTTATACACGAAGCAGTCCACATCTCTTTCGACGAGTCTCGATAAATTTTATTCACCAAACCGCATTAATGATGCACCTATATTATATAACCTAATTAATAACACCCTTATTTCATAAAAACGTCTAATAAATCTATTGAACTCTTTCATCCTTTTCTTTACATCCTTTTCTTCATTTGATAG